GGAATTGCTGGTGTGTGTGTGTGTGTGTGTGTTGGGGGGGGGGGCAGATCGCTTCCTTTTCTAATTCTATCCTGGGATGGACGGACGGATGCAGGCGTGAGATGGACAGAGGAGACTATGATGGGAGACAGACAGACGGATGGATGGACAGATGGAGTCATGGCAGGATTGGATGGAGGGATAACAAAGGAGATGGGTAGATAAGACATGATGGAGAGAAAAACAGATAGATATGGTGGGTGGGTGGATGGACAGACGCAGACATGACATGGTACATGCATGCAGACATGATGAATGCCCAACGAGACACAGGATAAAGCACGTGCGTACATGATGGAGACAGGGAGGATGATGGATAGACGGAGGGAAAGATGGAGGCGGGTAAGGGACGATACTTCCGCCCATGACAGAGACAGACAGACATGATGGATGGATACCGAAATAAGACGGATCTACGATGGATACAGAGAAACAGACAGATGATGGATGGATGGTTGCATACATGAGAGGGAAGGAAAGAGAAGGAGAGAATAACCTGGTTTCCCTATGTGCATACATGTGTATATTTATTTTATTTATTCCCTTCTCCCTCCCTCCCTAACCTCTTTCCTCCCTTCCATCTCTCTTCCCTTTCCTTCCATCCTTCCCCCCCCCCCCTCCCTTCTTTCCCCAATGCTCCCTAAAAGTGAAAAGTGACACATTTCCAGCACGGGAACCCAACCCCTCCTTCCAAATCAAGAAGCCTGATCCTGGTTAGCTGTGACAGGCCTCCCTTCTGCTCCCCCTTTAAACCTGGATATTCCTGGCCAGCCACCCGAGGCTTCCCGCGACTTTTAAGAATCATTTGCAATTCTGGAATTAAATTTTCTGCAGAGGAGTATCAAAGCTGAGTGTCTCACTTCCCAGTGCTGTGTCCACGGTCGCCGAGCCTGCAATTAATTCCGCGGTTGGGTTTTTTGTACAATCCAGGCTTAATACGGAGTTTTTTTTAAAAAAAAAATCAGCCTTAAGCCCATTTCTTTCTTTGCAGTTTCATCTCCAGGTTTCCTTATTTTATTTTTTCTTCACTGCCGGCTAGCTCGTTTTGCAGACCGCTGGTTTCTCTGCCTCCCAGGTGCATTAATCCTGGTCCATTATATATATTATTTTATTTGGGGCGGGGGGGGGGCAGATTAGCCCCTTCCAGTCTTGCAACCCGGCAGGTTTTCAGCTGCATCCTAAAAATCGCGTCTCAGGGATCATTCAATTTTTTTCATTCAGTGGTTTAACACAGGTTACGTCCTCGACTTACAACCATGATGGAGCCCCAAATTTCTGTTGCTAAGTGAGACATTTGTTAAGTGAATTTTTTCCCCTTTTACAACCTTTCTTGCCACGGCTCTCAAGTTAGAAACAGGGCTGTTAAGTGAATCTGGGGAAGGAAGGAAGGAAGGAAGATGACGGAGAAGAGAAGAGAAGATGAAGTGTGTGCGGGTGGGTGCGGGTGTGGGGGGGGGGGGGGGGGGGGGGGGGGGGGGGCAGAGCAATCTTCCCAACCCTAAACCGACCTAAACCATCCCGAGGAACAAAACAAGAAAATTAAATATACAGTTTGATCCCAGCTCGGTTTGTCTGTGTGCATCTTGTGGTGGTTTGCCTCTCTCTACTTTTTTTTTTTTTTTAAAGAAGACCCTCAACATTTGGCAAATATCGCAGATAAATGTGTTTGGCGGAGGAAAAATACATATCCATTTTTTCTAATTTTTTAAAATTTCTTTAAAACGTCGCAGAAAAAAGGGCTGCAGGTTCCCCGTTCACAGTTCGTGTTCAGTTGAGGCTTGGAGGGTTTCGAAAAGCACAGACACAATTCTTCCAGGTTTTTAACTTTCAAGTGTGATTCCTTCCCCCCCCCCACTCTTTTTTGGGGGTCACCAGAAATGCTTAGTGGGGTACCGGTGACTCGCAAGTTAATTCAGAGCAGAACCAGCAAAAAAGTAAAAATAAATAAAAGGCACCCCGAGGATCTAAAAACGGGCCCTCCGGGGGGGGGGGGGGGGGGGGGGGGGGGGGAAAAAATCATGTATAAAAAATAAACCACACAGACTGAATAATTCTTGTTTGCTAGGAGGGTCGAACTCCTTCAAATCAACTTTAGACGCTCCCGATGTGCAGATTTAAAATCTTTTGGGTGCAGATTATTATTACTATTATTACTATTACCTTCGAAAGGCAAACCTCCTCTCTTCCTCGGCGGTTGGATCTCGAGACCCCCCCCCACAAGACCCTCGCTGGGACGCATAGACCAAGGGGCAAGGATCCGCTTCCGGTGATCCACGTCCATCAGGTGGCGGGAAGGATCAGAGGAATCGGATTCGGATTGGGGCGAGGGTCTGTGTGTGTGTGTGTGTGTGTCTACGGACCCTCTGGGGCTCCGAGGGAAACAAAGGGGGGGGGATTTAATTCGGTCCGGGCACCTGCTCCGACGCCCCGTCACTGGTAGGCCACCTTCACGCAGAACGTCTCCTCGTTCTTCCCTTCGGCGTCGTTGATGTAAATCAGGATTTCCTCCTCGCCGGCGTTTTGGCTGGGGGCAAACCTCAAACCGATGGTGTAGGTCTCCCCGCCCCCCACCTGGAGGGAAAGGGAGGGAGGGAGGTCAAGGAGGCCGGTACCTGGGTCGGGGGACCAAGTGGTGGCCCGGGAAGAGGGGAGCTTTGGTGAATTGGCCGCCCCGCTCTGGAGTCCCCCCGTTTGAGCTGCTGCCCCTTAAAGGAGGGTGAACCCCACTGAATGTCCAAGATGGGGCCCTCCCTGCTTGGCCCCCCCTCCCCCCTCCCTGCCCAGGAGAGTTTTGGGATTGTCCTCCATCATGACCGAACTAGGGAACATTATCCGTGCTGGAAGGGAGGGGGGGATCTGCAGAGAGGAGGAGGAGGAGGAGGAGGAGGAGGAGGAGGAGGAGGAGGAGGAAGAGGAGGAGGAGGAGGAGGAGGAGGAGGAGATGACGACTGTGGGGTCCTTGGTGCTCTCTGAACTTGGTGGTTTTCTTGCAGACGTTTCATGACCCGACTAGGTAACATCATCAGGGCTCTAAGGGAATGGGGTTTGGGGACAGGAGGAGGATCGTGGGGTCCCTGGTGCTCTCCTGCAGACGTTTCATGACCCAACTAGATAACGCCATCAGTGCAGCGTGCAGAGCACCAAAGAGGTTACCCAGAGAGCACCCAGAGGGCCCCACAGTCCTCCTCCTCCTCCCCTTCCAGCACTGATGAAATCACCCAGCTGGGTAACGAAACGCCTGCAGGGAAAGCACCCGGCTCGGAGAGCACCCAGGACCCCTCCTCAAGGGCGCTGAAGTCCCTCTGGCTTCAAAGGAAGGGAAGTGGGGAGAGGCACCCTGCCCACCGGGACCCCTCCCAAGGACCCCGCCCCGTGCCGCGCTTCCCTCACCTGGAAGGAGTCCTCCTTGAAGCGCAGCAAATCCGGGTGGTTGGTGTGCAGGGAATAGGCCCGGGGGGACGGATAGGAGTTGGTGTAGGTGATCCTCTTGTTCAAGCCCTTCCCTCCGCCGGAAGGCAGCGCGATTTCGAAGGCCTGGCAGGGGAGGAAGGACCCGGAAGGGCTCAGGGGATCCATGGCTGGAAGGCCCCTCGGAGGTCTTCTAGCCCA